TGGGCCCCCAGTATGGGCCCTTACTGCTGAGGTGCATTTCTATCTGGTATGGGCTTTTAACTTAAAGGTTTGCATTTAGGGTTGGGCCATAGACTCTCTGCACAAAGTGGTTCCAACCTTAGACGAACCTAAAAAATACTCGGGTTTAGGGTTTATAGGGTTCATCTAAACCCAAAGAGGCAAACAGTATGTCAAACTGGGCTGAAAGTATGTTCCTTCTAGATAGGTAGATAGACAGGTCTGCCCCTTTGCAGTCGTCTGTGTGTACACATATATACGGTGTGATGGAACCAGTAAACCCTCTAGGAGCCCCAGTAACTTAGGAGTAAAAAGGTCCCCCTTCCTGAGCATGGCTTATTTTCCAAAGAACTTAGTACCCCCACAAAGGGAAACAGGGCCTACTTAACACNNAACCCTGAACCCTGATCAACCCTAAACCCTAAACCCCACACCCTCTCGGGGAGTCCTTGGACGTCGGAGGTTCCGAGGCTGGCAAACTGATGCCTTCCACAGCTCACAGCAACGAAGTCCAGAGGTTTTATGGGTTTAGGGGTTTAGGGTTGCCGGTTTAGGATTGAAGGTTTATGGCTGGGGTTGCGTGTTACGTACTCGATTGGCAATTGGGAATGGGCTCTCAGGACTGTGATGCAGGTCGCAGCGTGTGTTACTTCGGCACTGCTGTACGGATCCATTCTAAGATTCCTGCCTGAGCTTTTCCATCATCCTTATATAACCAACATATACCCCTATGTAACCGCTATATAACCCTATATAACCTTATATAACCCCTATATAACCCCATATAATATACTATAATATACTATAATATAATATAATATACTATAGTATAGTATAATATAATATAATATAACCCCTATATAGCCGCCTATATATGCACAATATAACCCCTATGTAATGCCTATTTACCCAGGCAAGAGCTTCTTGGTACTACATTGGGAGTCATGGCTGCTCTGAATCCCCAAAGGGAGCTTAAAACTAGGTCCTCTTGAATCATGCGGGGAACTATATAAGGCTACGTGTCAGGGGGATTCTTGGCTTACATAAGTGGATCTGTTGTTTTTGACATCCCAGGGGTGCGGGTTAGGAATCTGGCTTACAAGCAAAAATTGCTCACATACTGTGTGTTTAGGGTTTAGGGTTCAGGGTCTGGGGTTTAGGGTCTGGAGTTTAGGGATTGGATACCGCAGACATCACCCTATGTACACATCCAAACAAAACGCTCTTATGTATCACTGTTCTGGATAGGGGGCGGTACATATCAAAGCATAGAACTTCGACCCTAAGCCCTAAACTATGTTGGAGACTGAATATCCTGTATGACCCCAAGTACCTCATACCTTGGAAAGTATGTTAGTTACTATGGCTTTTTAACGCAGAGAGCCCAATGTAGCTTAATTCAGGAATATACCTCAAATCATACTAGGACCCTGAATATAATTTGAGGTATATTCCTCAATTAAGCTATATTGGGCTCCCTGGGAAGGTCATGCAGTATTAGCATCAACAGTATTCCCAGAGTTGCACGGATTGGTTCCTACAGGAACCATTTAACCACAAAGACTTCCACAGCAAGGCCTCTGCGGTTGGATATTCAGGATTTTGGGTTAAGAGTTCAGGGTTTAGGGCAGGGAAAGGCCACACAAGCATAGGATTCTGAGATCAATAGCATCATGGAGCAGCCTTTACTTCCCGTAGAGCATGTCATGTCTTTTTGGTTTCGCCTTCTGCCTAACCAGCTGGAGCTAGCACGAAGCTTGACCCCTAGAATCCCCAATCCTGTACCCTAAGCCCAACATGGAGCCGTTGTGGTGCCCAGCTACTGCGATAGCAACGGCCGGAAACGTTGAAACCAACGGCAGCAAGCACATGTGCATTGCTTCTGGCTTTGATAAGTATGAGGCGAAGCGCTACCCAGGACTCTTGGATGAGTCTATAATTAGATCTCATAGATAAGCTCTGCATCACCCCTACATAATCTGATATACTTCACCTTATGATTCTGCGGGATCATTTTTCAATCCCTCTCGGAAAGCTCTAAGCCCCAAACCCTAAGCCCTAAAACCTAACCCCAAAATGCTGAACCCTAAACCCAAAATGTTAAACCCTAAACCCTGAACCCTACATGGGTTAGGGTCCGGGTAGACAATCATGGCTATGCCGATAGCAGCGCCCTACAAGCCGCCTGCGCTGTGTCCTCCACCTGTGCCTGTGCAGGGTTTAGGCTTTCGGGGCTTTAGGGCTTTAGGTTGGGGACTGCCCCCCCTCAGTAACAGTTGGATGACTATATTTTGGTTATATATAGCCCTTAATAGGACGCCTAATATAGAGTGTTTCTGGGGGGGGCAGTACCCAAGCTTTAGGGTTTAGGGATGTTCAGGGTTCAGGGGTTTTAGGGGCTTAGGATTTGGGGCTGAGGATTGAGGTTTAGGGATGTTCAGGGTTAAGGGGTTTAGGGTTTTGTGAGTTTAGGGCCCTGTCAGCGAAAAAGCTTAAGGTTAAGGGCTAAAGCACAATAGGGTCTCAAAGACTTAGCAAGAGGATGCTCTTGAACCAGGCCTTAAAACTGGTAGGTCTATTGCGGATACGTGTGGTTTTCATAGTAGACATTGTGAAGCATTTTACGGGTATTACCTGACCATGTCTTGGGTTTTCCGTAACTGGCCGCAAATAATGGAAATGACAAAAAAAGCCGCAACAAATCCATCCAGCTCGCGAGGTTCCAAACACAAAGTACAAGTAACGTGAGAAATATCATTAGAGCAGCATGAGAAGAGCAGAACACAAACACATGTACATGAACACCAAAGGAAACGACATGAAGACATCGTTAACCCACTAAACCCTGAACGTCGAAAACTAAATCCTAATCCCTGAACATTAAACAGCCTTAACCCCAAACCGTGAACATTGAATCCTAAACCCTAGGCTGGGAGTTGCAAGGGTTGCTCCTCAAAGCTGCAGGCTTTCTTGGAGGTTGGCTAAGTACTACTAGTAGTACTTGTAGTAGTAATATTTATAGTAGTACAAATACGAATGATGGTAGTGATACTGCTAAGAATAGCAATGCTAATGGTAATTGCTTCTCCTGATGCTGTGGACGGAGTGTTTGGCATCTGCAGTTTTTCTTCTGCTGATATGTTTCGCGCTCCGTGTGAGATTCACTTCTCATGCTTTTCCGGTGGCGGCCCCTTTTTTTTGGTGTGGGTCTCCATTGTTCTCGTGTCTTTCTTGGCGTTCCTCCTGTTTCTCGTTTTGCGCTCCAGGTTTGCCGCAGGTTTCCTGAATGCCTCAGGTTCCCTGTGCCTGACCCATCACCAGGAAAAGAGGCAACCGAGAAAATGTTAAGTGATCAATCCAGGAAACAGGTTTAAGGTTACACCCAAAAAACAATAAGAAGAGCAGGATATAATATCTAGCTGGAGGGTAAGAGTGCTTATGTTGTTTTGTTCTGGTATTTTTGTTGTTTTAGCTTTTCGGGTGTTTGAATTTTTGCTGTTTGGGCGGGGGCGGGGGCCCAGCCCAAACAGCAAAAACAGAAAACACGCACCCGCCCAAACAGCAAAAAATAAAACCGCCCCACCCCTTCCGAGCATTGTTTTTTTGCTGTTCGGGCGAGG